TTTTAAACAGACCCTGGGTTGATCCACTTCCTCTCTTACCTTTAGGAAGTTTCTCGTTATTGATTTTCAAGATGTTAAGAATCTTCTGAATGACAAATATCATCATGCCAGCAGAGTTTATTTCTACCCTTAATGAAATAAAATTTATATAAGTTTAAGGATTAGAAATAAAAATGTTTTTTTGAAAACAGCAAAAGCGGGACTAGAATGTTGATTTCTGAAATTTCTAGTTAAAGACTAGATTGACTTGAAAGAATATTTCCTGTGGGGTGTTTTAAAATATTATTTAAAAATACATGAAGATTTTGAAATTAACTGTAAGAAATCCTCCCATGGGAAAAATTGCTAATTGGAAAATAAACATATGATATGGGAATTTAGAAGGTTGACAGAGGGAAGCAGAGAGAACTAAGCATTACAACAAAGGAGAAGAGAATGTTAAATACGATAGAGCAATACTATTTGTAGATGAAATTAAGATTGTTTGGGAACAATGTACTCAGAAATTGGTTACAAGATTGTCTGATACAATAAAAATGAATTTATCAGAGGATATAGAAAGAGAGATTTTACTGGACAAAACAGAGACTGGGGCTGATTCAAAATGGAAAAAGATGCTGTGGGTATGAAAATGGATTTATACCAAATAACAAGAGTGATATTGAAAGGGATGCTATAATGGGTTTACATTTGAAACCAGCTAATGTTTTAATAATTAAAAAGGACATACAAATAACAAATCAGAAGAATGATTTTTGAAAGCCTTATTTGGTTTTATAAACAGGATGTGTTGAACTACTGAAGCTGTTCCTGAACGGAGATAGAGAAGGTGGTAAGAAATCAATTTGTGGGATATCATTTGATAGGATTAAAAATTATGCTCTTAAAAAATAAATGGAAGATAAGTGAATTTATTTGACCAGGGTTAAAATATATGTATTGTGGTTTCTGTTTGCTATTAATGACCAGGACTGAATGATAAGGCTTTAAAGATCTGTGTATAAATGGGAGAGGGATTTCTTTTACTTTTCTTTTTAGAGGAAGTGATAACTTGGAATACAAAGTGGATTCATTTGACTAAACTTAAAATAAGTTATTATTTCTGGTAGTTCTTCATAACTTTTTGCTGATTAAAACTGAGTTTTTATAATTTGATCATTGATAAGGAATGAGGTACGAGATCATTTTTAAAATTCTAAAATAGAATTTTTAAAATTCTAAAAGGGAAGGTATTAATTTGTTATACTCTTCCTACTTATCTGGAGGGAGTGGCAAAGTCATTTTTTAATACACCTTTTCATTTTTTTCCCTTATCTCTTTGCACTTTTCTTTTTCTTTACCTCTTAGATTTTTCTTCATTTGAATTAGTTTTTTATCTTCATATTTGTAACCTTTAACAAAATTGTTTTAATAAATGGTTAATACATTAGTCTACCATTTTAACGTAGAAAACACCAAAAGTATAGAAAAATTGAACCCTCTTCCACAAAAGAGAAATGCATTTGTTTGTTAAAGTCGGAATCATGCTTCAAGGAATGCAAACTTCCAGAAAAGTGATGCAACGCAACGAGCTAAACACTTTCCTTCAGTGACGTCATAGCCAGATGTGCCCGGGCTTAATGGATTTTAAATATCGGGACAGCATCTCTCCTCCCTTCCGACTGAATCAATTTGCATCGTGAGCCCCGCCTCCTCCCCGCTTCCGCCAGCTAGGGGGCTCATTAACGAGTGATGATTGGCATATTTGAATTCCTGCGGAGCAGCCTCAGGGGCCCTTAAACATGCTGGCCAATGAAAAGCCCGCTCCTCTCTACCCTCCCGCCCACCTGCCACGAGCCTCTCTCGGGTCCCCGGAATACCCTGTGGCTGCCACGGTGAAAGTTTGCCGTTCCCATAGCAACGACCAAGGTGTTGCAACGAGAGGCGTGAAGGCTATTTTTGCGCATGCGCAACATGGTAGCCGCTCTTCAAGGTAGAGACAGGAAAAGGAAGAGTTAAAAGATCCAATGGATCTAACAGAAGTGGAGTCGCTATGCCATTTATTTCCCCTGACTTTATCTTTAGCTTCACGTTCTGGGCACGGAGGATGATCGAATAGGCCACCTGGCAGATAAACAGGCTTTCTCTTTCTATAGGAGAAATTAATAATAATGGACTAAATTTGTATGCTTCCACCACTCAGGGCGGCTCACAACCATCAAACGTCAATAAAATCAATAAAGCAAATATCATTTAAGAATATACTTATTGTTTTGTTTTGTTGTTGTTTTTTCAAAATAGTAAATATCTTCATTTGGTGCCCCACCTATTTTACAAGAGAAAATTGATAATATCTTCCTCTCAAATGCTATACATACGGTATAAATTTGCAATGAAAGAACTGAATCCATTGTATCCTATCTGGTATTTTTACAATTATTTCCATTTTTTCTACTTTCTACATTTTTTTTTTGAAAAAGTTTTAAAACAAACACAATTTCCCCACAACCCCCCCTCCCAACCCCCCTCCCCCTCCCCGACTTCCCAGAGCAGAACACAAGGTATTTCTATTGACCTTTAACAATAAACTAAATTGCATAGCCAATCATTAAACTAACACCCCCTAAGAAAAAATTCTTAACCCCCCATATGTAAAATCCTATTTCTTAAACATAATACTTCTAATATCACTCATATAACGCTTATACAAATAAAAGAAATCATTCATAAGCTATTTGATATTTTTTGGTTTGATACTTATTTTGTATATAATCAATCCATCTTCTCCAGTCCTGTATATACCTTTCTTGTGTGTGATCCTTCAGATATGCTGAAATTTTAGCCATTTCAGCTAAATTAGTTACTTTCAATATCCAATCATCAATAGTAGGCAAAAAATCCTTCTTCCAGTGTTGTGCTACCAACAATCTTGCTGCTGTTATCAAGTTCAAAATCAATTTAGTCTCTACAACTGTACAGTCCGTAGTTATAACCAGTAAGAACAACTGTGGAGTAAATTTCAGTCTCTTTTTAAGAATATTCTGCATCACCCACCAAATCTTTATCCAAAATGCTTTGATTTTTCTACAAGTCCACCATATATGATAATAAGTTGCGTCGTCACAGTCACATCTCCAACATTTAGCTTGCACATTAGAATACATACATGATAATTTTTTAGGATCTAAATGCCATCTATAAAACATTTTATAAAAAATTTCTCTTAAATTTTATGCTTGTGTAAATTTCACATATACTTATTGTTGATAGATAATAAAACGGAATTATTTATTAAGAAACATAACAGTATTCAAAATGTACTAAAATCGTTGTGTAGGAAGTTAGCACCCACCCCTTTCCTGGAAGAGTGAAATATTTTAGGAAATATGAAAAAGGCAGAAATATGAGAAGCATATTTTACAGACAAAGCAGCTGCCACCTTCCTGCCCCCCACCCTTTGTCAATGGGCCATTAAGGCTTGGGCCAGTCTATTCTACATAACAAAGATCTACCTCCTTCAGGCAGAGCCATAGTAGGAATTGCGAAAGATAGGATTAGCCCTCTACACAATAGCAGTAGAAACTCACCACATGTGACCTGGGAAGCACATCTGACCATCAGCCAGCAAGACCCCCACCCCCTGGGAGTCTGACAACCAATCAGGATACTCTTTTGGGGCCCCAAGGAATGCAGAGCCAGAGAGAGCATAAAAACCCGAGGACTTTACTGTATCAGCCCTTTTCTGTTCAGGAACTCAAGCCATGTGATCCTGTCCACCATTAAACCATCTTTCCAAGCAGTCTCCATGTTTCCAGTGTCTGTTTCCCCACTTGGAGCAGAACCCAGAAGGATGTTTCTTCCAACAGTTGATTTGTACTAATTTTAAGATTTTTCCTTCCATATATGAGCTAACAAATAGACAATTCAACCATACAGAAAACTCTTGTATAGAAGACAAAGTTCTTCCTATGTAGAGCATGGTAGCCCGTGGTTTCTACCTATAGCGACTACCTCTTCGAAGCTTTTGGTAGCAAATGCAAATCTTTGCAACCTTCAAAATGCTGTAACTTCACCCAGGAAACCATTTTCATCTTAAAGACAGTTTTCACATATATGTAAAATCATTGAAAAGGGTTTCCATGCTAGGATTATTATTATTATTATTATTATTATTATTATTATTATTATTATTATTACTAGATAGTCTTGATGTAGGCAGTAAAAATCGATTATTTTAGGATAATATGTTGTTATATGCCACCCATCTCACTCTGCACAGCAACCCAATATTGATAATAAACTGGTTAACTAGTGTACAAGTGAAAACCGTTGTAGCTTGCACAATTACATATATAAACCTACAGAATGGGAAAAGTGGAAAATATGAGAATGAAATCTGAAAGTGGCTCTCCTTGTATCTCTCTCTACTCCTTAAAAGAATGAATCTTTAGTCCACCAGCGCTGAGCGCTTGCGCAGTACCGTAGAAAACGGAGAATTTCTTTAGAACGAGGCAAATGCGCAGGCGTAACATGCGGAGGAACAGCCGCCAGAGGTCGCTACGACTTCCAATTGGAACACGTCTTTTGTATCTTTCTCACACCACCCCATCATTCTGGGATTATGATTGGTTGCCATAATACTCGAAGGGCCCGCCCAAGAGCAGTCTTGTTGCTGTGTGGGTTTGTTAAAGAAACGAGCCGTTGCACTCTGTATAGATTAAACAGGAAAAAAACAACTATCCTTTGTCCTGAGTGATTAGAAATATAAGAATTGAGTGTATAATTTATGCTGCTGATGGAATAGGAAAAGGTTTGGGTTCCCTATAAACATTGAAATATTGTCCCCACCCCTTTATGATAATCGATGGAAAAACCCTCCTCCTCTTGCCACTCCCCGATGACGTCACTTCGGAAGCAGTTGCCAGAACGTGGAGGAACGTAGCTTCCGCTTCAAATGGCGGATGACCCAGAACTGATATATGGGAAGCATTTCTCTATGACGTCACTTGCTTCTCTGGACTCTTCCGCGAGCCCACACGGCTTCAGGAATTTTGGTCACGATGGGAACCCGTAGGAGCCTGCCAAAACGTTGGAACTAGTTCCCTAGGCGACGGAGGAACGCGGTTTTGATTTAGATCCCGTTTAACTCGGTCCTTTTCTCCGGAACAACCATGTGAGGTTAGGCCGAAAGAAGGAGCGACCCGGAGAAATTCGGGAAGCATTAAAGTATTCCTGGAGGGAGGAAAATCCGAGAACCGTGGAAAAGGGCCTTGCAGGGTTCGCGAAGTGTATAGTGCAATCTCCATGCTTACAAATATTAACTGAGCAACATCCATAGGGTGAAATGCTGATGGGAAATGATTTTAACCCGTTATGCGGTTGAGAAAGAAAGGCCGGGTTAAGGATGCTTTGGTGCTTTCTAGCGCCGTGTTTTTCAAACTTGACAATTTTAAGATGTATGTGGACTTCAACTCCCAGAAGTCCCCAGCCAGCAATTGCTGCCTTTGGAATTCTGGGAGTTGAAGTCTGCATAGCTTAAAAGGGGCTAAGTTGAAAGACACCATTCTGGGGTGCTAATTTTTTTATTTAATATTCACCATGGGGGGAGGGGGGGAAGCAATTTGGGCTAGGAAATTGTGCCTAGTAAAGACAGCTGTTGAATTCGGAACCTGCAATCATAATGGATCTGAAAAATGATTTATATTTTCATTACAAATTCATTAGCTAATCGAAAATCTGAGGTGCGTATAAAAGTTACAAGGTCATTGGCACTCTGCTTTTGAATAGGGCTTGCTTTTCTTTAAATTTATGCTACTTAAAAAGAATGGTATATGCAAACAGGACTGGTTTTTTTATCAGTCCCATTATGTTTATGTGGTGCAATTTATTGACAATATTCTCTTTCTCTTAAGGCTGTTTGACATCTATGGAGCCTCCAGACTCATTTCCCAACTGAGGAATGGCAGTAAGTGCAGCACCTATCGTAGATCTGTTCAATAATTCTTTTCTGGTTCTCCATGGGAATGGAACTGCACTTCATAAATATACTTACAGATCAGTTATCTTAGAAGCCCAGAGTTCAAACCCAAGTATTTTGAATATTGAGTGTTGTGAAATAATCTCAGTTTTAAGCATTTGATAACTATATCATATATTTAACATATAACACAAAATGCACTAAGCATGTCATAATATGGGCTACTTGGTTGTATTTGGAGCATTAAGATGAAAGATTACCTGACTTTCAAACTTTTGATTATTGGAGGAGCTATACATTTGGTATACAAAGACTTTCCAGTCAGAGCTGTTTGATTTGTTAATGTTTAGTTGAGGTTTGGTCTAATGGTTAAGGCATCAGGCTATAAAGCAGAAGACTACAAGTTCAAGTCCCATCTTTGTCATTAAAGCCAGGTGAATGCCTTTGGGCTAATTCCTGTCTCAGCTCAGTCCACTTACTGTTAAGAAAATAGGAGGAGGAAGGTATGCTGGATATATTCCACCACCTTGACTTATTTATAAAAATAATAAAGGCAAGATATAAATTAAATAATAAATCAAAATCAGATATTGGATTTACGGTAAGTGGTCTTGCATGCAACTCCATTTATGCTTCCTTTACTCCTCACCCCTCCTACTGTCAACCTACCTTTGACTTTTTCCATCTTACAGACTCCACCGCTGAATCCTCCACCAGATCTCCCCTTTGCTGCCACCTTGTTCCTGCCCCTCCCTGCCATCGTTTTCTTGGTTGTTGGTTCCTACCTGCTGCTCCTCATTCTGGTCCTGGTCCTCAGACAATGCCTACTGGTAACTGGGAGAAGCAATAGAGACAGTCAGTGGTTGGGGATTTAGAGATGAAAGGATAAGATTTGAACTATTTTCCATATTAATACTGCTCTTATTTCCGAAGTTTTCCATTAGAAAATGAGCAAAAACAATGCATCTAGGCATTAATCTTATGAAATCCTGACTGGCTTCTCATTCATGCAGATTGCATCAGTTATTACATATAGTCAGATATGTTTTCCACTGTTGCCTTACTTACTTACCTTAGCTTTTCTCCAAAAATTATCAACATGCATTGTTGCTGCTTAGGCACTTATGGATTACAGATAGTCCTCGACTTACAACCATTTGATTAATGACAGTTTAAAGTTACGAGGGCACTGAAAAAAGTGGCTTATGACCATTTTTCACACTTTGCAACCGTTGCAGCCACGTAATCAAAATTCAGACACTTGGCAAACTGGTTCATATTTATGAGGGTCGCAATGTTCTGGGATCACATGATCCCCTTTCGTGACCTTCTGACAAGGAAAGTCAATGAGGAAGCCAGATTCACTTAACTGTGTTACTAACTCAATAACTGCAGTGATTCACTTAACAACTGTGACAAGAAAGGTCGTAAAATGGGACAAAACTCAGTTGTCTCACTTAACAACAGAAATTTTGGGCTCAATTGTGGTCGTAAGTCAAGGGCTACTGTAATTTGCAATATATAAATCCAAGAAAAAAATTATATAGAAGCTTTGACCAGTGAGAAATCATAGAGATGGAATTGTTTTTTTCTAAGTAGTTCTTTTGTAATTAAGCTATATCTTGTTTTGTTTTTTAATACTGCTTCTCAGGCCAGAGGTTTTTGTGCCAATTGCTGTTCCTGTGAGAAGCGATCTTGGCCATCTATGTGTGAATGCTGTATGGCTTGTGCCGAATCCTGTGACTGTGCCCTTCCCACTCCAGCCCATTGTCTAGATCACTGCTGTTCTTGTACTAATGTGAGTTTTCTCAATGCCTTTTTTTTTCTAGAGTAAGAAGATAGCTAGTTTAGATAATTGTTAGGTCTGTGCTGAATGTCTACAGGAAAACCTCCAGCCTTTAGCAAATGTTACAGGTGCCTGTAAAATGGAAAATGTATTTTTGATCCAATCTGAAACAAATACATTGTGTCTTTTAAGTTTTGTAAAATTATTCCAGACAGCTGTGGGTCAGTAGGATCAAAAGCTTGGAAATTATGTTTTTTCTGGATTTGGGTCAAGACAATATCCAAAGGGTGCTGGTGTTGAATTTAGATTGGGGAGCAGCTTTATTTGGCTATACAGATAATTCTTTTTGAACGACCATTCAGTTAGTGACCATTCAAAGTTACAACAGAATGTTATAATAAAAAATAATTCAAGTTTTATAATATTTTGAATAATAATGAGGGAAGAAATAGCCATAGTTAAATAAATGATATTGAGGATAATAAGATATAGACATATATCAGATCGATGATATGAGAATTTAGGCATACTGTAAATTGTAAGTTATGATTTTGATGAAGACGCACAAAAGACTTGTAACCAACCGACACACTGTTTGCAATTGAAGATGGCTTTATATATGTTTGTTTAAAAATAAAAAAATAAAAAATAAAAAAAAAAGTTACAACAGTGCTGCACAAGGAGCACTTGCAATAAGTCCTCCTGGCTGCAACCATTGCAGTGTCCTGTAGTCGTGATTATGATTCAGGCACTTGGCCACTGATTCGTAATTACAACATTGTAGCATCCTGCTGTAACATGATTGTCAATTGTGACCTTCATTGCTGGGTTCCACTGGGCAAAATCAATGAGGAAATTGACAGGAGGTTGCAAATAGCAATAGCACTTAGACTTATATATCACTTCACAGTGCTTTACAGCCCTCTCTAAGCAGTTTACAAAGTCAGCATATTTCCCCCAACAATCTTGGTCCTTATTTTACTGACTTCAGAAGGATGGAAAGCTGAGTCAACCTTGAATCAGTGAGATTCGAACTGTTGGAATTGGCAGAATTAGCCCGCAATACTGCATTGATGCTGTAACTGCACAAGATTCACCTAATGACAGCAAATGAGAGACTGCCACAACTGCCGATTTAGAGTTGCCCACAACTGCCGGTAGCCACTGCCACATACTACACTGCAAAGGGGTTGATGAGTAAGTGGAGGTTGCAGAGGGCTGCCGATGTGCCAATGCAAGCACCTCCCAAATCCCAACTGTGTGTTGTGCTGAGGTGCACATCCTGTGTGTTGATTGGTTGATCTGACTTCCTCTTCTGTGCTTTGCTATTTGGGGAACCCACTAACCAGAACATTGAAATTTACTGACATATAAAAGGAACACCTATGCAACCATCCCCAAACAACATCTGCATAAATTCCATCTCACATGCAATGCTGGAGAAGTCTCCAGACTTAAATTGTCATGACCATATGACATTCCGCTTTATGACTGTATCACTTACTGATGGGGTTGCTTCTTGAGAACTACGTGTATTCTTGAGTGGCCTTTATTTTATGATGGAACCAGATTATCCAAGAACATACCAGTCATGCTATAAATATGTCACTAGATTTCTGACTACTATAGAGAAGACAGCAGCCTCTTAGAATGAAGATTCTAGCCATGGAGAAAAACATAATTTCTGGATGTCTAGATGTGTAGGAAAAGTTATATCAGTGAATAAAATGTACTCAATTGAACATCACTTTTTGTTAGCTTTTACAAGTAGGATTGCTTTAAAAAGTCCAGAAATTGCCCTTCTCAATAAAACAGACAAGGGACAATGTCTATTTTAAGGATGAGATGTCATCTCAAAGCCAAGAAAAATTAATTAAATTTTGAGCTGAAAAAGATAAATGACTGAGAAATAAACCAATACATAGTGAAGTGATAATCATGAGGTTATGCTTAACAATGAATGGAACACAGGTAATTCTTGATTTGCAACCTGCCCATTACGGTCATAAGTTATGACAGCCATAAAGTAGGACACCCAATTTTACACCTTATTGTGGCAGTTGTTAGGTGAACCCCATGATTGTAGAGCAAACCCATTGTTTGCTATGGACCATTTTTGCTAAACGCTAGAGGTAAATATTGGGTTTCAACAAAAATGTCATAAAACATGTTCAGGTGACTGTGGGATGCTGCAAACGGTCATAAATACAACCTGACGTCTGGTCACATAATGGCGGAGGGGGTTGGCCATTGGAACTTCGGAACCAGGTCACAAGTAGCGCTGGGGAGCTCTGTGGTAAATTTTAATAATTGCTGAGCAACCAGTCATAAATTGAGAACTACTTGTATAATACCAATTTAATTGACTGTTCCCGAGCAGAAAAATAGTGCAATTTATCTCAATCTTCAGTGAGTAGAAACTCTGAAAGAAAATGAATCTGCATTCAAAGTGACTTCCAGCTGATGTCCTTGATGCTGCCTATTATCTCTTCCTTGAACACAGGTCACAATTCCAGCAGCTTTATGCTAATCACTCTGCAATATTGCTCCATGCCTTCAGTTTGAAGGGATTAGTAGATTTTGATGGAGAACATTCTCTGGCTTAACAACATATGATTTTTCACTTCCCAACAGGGCTTGGAACCAAGAAGTTGCTCCTTTCCACGCCTGTGTCCACTTTGTGACTGTGCCTGTACATACCAGCCCCCAGACTGCCAGAATATCAACTGTATTTGCTTTGAAATCAAATTGCGTTAAGGGATCTTAGCTTTCTAAATAAAAGAGATTTGTATCTGAATGCATGAAAAAATGTAGAAGACTGCAAGTGATGGTTAATACAGTAAACTGTTGCTCACATTGGCAAAATTAACTTTTGTGTTGCCAAGAGACTTAAAACTTTGCACTTCTTTTTAGTGTTTTTTTCCCAAAATACTATTGATTTTTATAATGCTTGTTTGATATCATGTTTTATATGAACTCCTGCATTTTATAATAAATTGATTTGTCTATCCCGTGTTTAATCTTTGTATATGCATTAAAACAATGGCCCCTCACCTTTTGGGCACCAGGGACCGGTTCCGTGGAGAGAGATTTTTCCATGAACCGGAGGGGGTGTGGTTTTGTGTGCTGCCTGCATCCCATGGGTGGGATTGTTTGTGTGGCCTGTTTGTGTGTTCTGGCATGCCACGGTCCAGTGCTGGTCCTCTGAATTGGGGTTGGGGACCCTTGCATTAAAAGACAAGCAGTATAGATGTAGATAAACAGTAGATATGTATAAATGCAAACTTCAGTGAAGAGTTTGAATGCCAATTTTATGGAAGTGCTTGGATATTCATATGCACTTTGGTAGTTAAATATGTTTATAGCACTAAAAAAAGGTATTTGATTACACAATTTCATTCAACTATTGTTCAGCCAATGTATTTTTCCCTATTCCATGGTCACAAAAAAGTCTTCCTTATCTAAATCATTTTATTAGTTGCAATCTGGAAACTCAAATGAATTTTGATTGTGGCATAAGTAAGCACTCTGCAATTTTGAAATTCCTGATTTGTGCGGGTCTGCAACTGAACCAGTATCTTGGAAGCCAATGCAGCAGAAATATGTACAAGGAAATAACTGGGAGTATAACAGTTGGAAGGGATCTTGGAGTCCAACCCTTTGCTCAAGCAGGAGACCCATTTCAGACAAATCGTTGTCCAAAGTTTTTATGAACTCCCACTTGAGTACATCTTGGCTGAATCTGCACATTATGCCAAGCCATCATGGATCCAGTTTGGGTTACTATGTTGTGTGATTAATACACAACACCACAGTCGTTTATAAGCTGGCTTAATGTTTTATGACGCGGAACTCCAATAAGCTAGTTTATTCAAACTATAGATAAACAAGCCGTGGCTTAACAGGATATGTGAACTAATTTTCTAACAAGTTCAAGTTTAAAGAAAATTTATATTTTAAGCTCACATTTCCCTACCAGGGAATTTAAAAACTGCACTTGAAGAAGGGTAGGTTGAAAGAGATATGGGTTCACCCACTCAGATTCATGCCTGAGCAGGAATGCCAAGCTCTATGCTGTCTCTTCAGCCCCTGCTTGGTACTTTGTATCACTCCAGCTATTAAAAGTTGTCTTGCTGTTTTTTATCTTACAGTGAAAGATACTGAGGTGCCACATTTAGATAGCACGTAGGCCAACTTTTTGCTGTTGGGGCCAGAAGCAAAAACCTCTGCACCAGTGAAGCTTTGTGCTATTATGCCAAGTTGCCTAGGGCCGTTAATCTGTTTGTGCAAGGACCCAGATAGCCCAACTCACATGTCTGTAGCTGCATAATGCTGTTCCTCACGTAGGTAAACAAATTAAGGCAACTGCTATCTTGATTGCTGTCTTTGTAGCATAGCCAGAATTCTTTCAAGAGATCAAATGTTGCTCTCCAAAGCCAGGATTCTTGATTCAAAATATCAGTATACAGCATCAAATGAGCTAATATATATATGTGTGTGTGTGTGTGTGCGCACACACAAACTCGCGTGTACCTTTTTCAGAACAGTACAAAAATATAAACAAGCAAAACACCATCTTTTCACATGTATTTATGTACTCACATATTGAACTAAGGGAAATCCTGTGCTTATTTGAGTAAAGATGCAAATGACTTGAGGGCAAAACAATTTGAAGGGCAATGGACAAAACCAATGTAAATAATGATTGAGGATTAAGGTGTGAGGGTCTTTGGTCTTAACTGACTTAAAAGATTGCTGCTATACCTCCCAGACTGACAAAATTAAGTCTAAACATTTGCGCTTAGTCAGATGACCTTATAACAAGGTTAAAGCCCACTGAATTATGGTGACAAAGATACACAATTAAAACAAATTGATATGGTTATGTTCATTCTACAGGTAAGCCATGGTTTGTTTCACTATTTATTGAATAAATAGAAAAAAATAAAGACAAAAATGAGTGATACCAAACATAAATTGTTACGTTTGTTGAAAATTCTGAAAGTGGATGAGAATTGTAATTATACAACATCCTTCTCTTTTAAGATCTGGACACACTAACACCAGCCTTAAACTTTTGAAAAGTTCTTAGTTGTTGGCTTTTCCCCGGGCACTTGGAATAGCTGGATAAATATAAGTTGTTGAATTAGGCATCTGGTTTTTCTTGTTCATTGTATTGTTTTATTATGTTTCTTATTACTGTTAGCTGCCCAGAGTCTTATTTCATGAGATGGGGAGCCCGTAGATTGTGTGTATGAGAGAGAGATAAGATTTAGGGTTGAGCCTGTAGGGTGATTAGAGATCTTAATTCTCCATTCCTACCATAGAAGCCAATTAGTTCTATATACTCTGGCCCTGCCATTTGACTTGGTGCAGCTTTTATAATTACTGCTGCTACGGGATGCTGTTATCAGATGTCCTACCTTTAACCCTAACATGTATGATAGATAGGGGTCCCAGAGCCTGGGAACTTGCCTGGTTAAATTAGTGAGAAAATAAGGCTGATAAAAATGTCATAAATTATATAGCACCAATTTGGTAGGGTGAGACTAGGGAAATCAGTCCACCCCCTTCCCTTCTTCCTTTGGGAGCCAGATCAATATCACAAGGTGTACACAGATTTCACAAGGTTTACACAAACAACAAAATGTTTAAAAAGCTTTTTTCTAATTTGAAGTAAACATCAAAGGTAAAGATAAAAATAGAGAAATGTGAAGATCACAAACAGCATCTGAAGAGAATTTCCAGTCGAGAAAAATATGCAACAAAAATTAAAACTCCACTAAAAATTATAATCACTGACCTGCTATAGAGAAAACAGACCTAAGGAAAGAGGAAAAGGGAGAGGAAGGGGAGGGGGAGGGGAAGAGAAGAAGCTTTTAAATTCAAATTTGCTACCTATTCTTTGGAAAAATTCCCTGCTAGCTTCCCTGGATTTCTTAGATCCTTAATTCCAGCTTTTGAACAGTGGGCACCTGAGAGACAAACTTGAAACCTCCAGCCTTTCACTCTATGGGTTCAGCCACAGAACTTTATTTTAATTCACAAAATAAACTTAAGTATAAATCAAGCTCTATTTCTGATGACAGCCTAGTTACAAACACTTATTTTCTTGCCAACAGAATTAGTTTGCAGAATTCTCAGTTTCTGAATTCTCATTTGGTCAAGACTACATCCTGAAGGTGTTTCTTTCAAGTCCTGACTAGGCCTGGCCTTTCTCAGGATATTAGCTTACATAAATAAAGTTATCCATCTGAAAATGAATTATAAGACCTGTCACTGGCATTTGTTTCTAGTTTTTACTGACATTCTTGGTCCTCTGAATAAGTACCAATACCAAGGAGCACTGGAAGTATCGAAAATAATTTCTTTATATCTTTCCCTATGAGTTACCCATACCAATCATCAGGAGGAGTCAAAAAAGTCAAGATGGTGGTCACAACGCAACCGCAACCTTTCTCTTTTATAATATTTGGCACTAAAAGGGATCAAGGCTATGTGTGGTCATAGCCACTATTTTTAGTTTTCTGACCCATCCTGCAGACACAACTGGGCAGCAATTAATCTTAAATACTGGTTTTTGATCAGCAAACTCATGGCCGAGTGGACTGATACGTTAATATTTACAGGTTAAATAAAATACCACCTATTTTCATTTATCTGTGAAAGTTTCCAATAATCTAGTCTAATATAATGCTCATGCCCTGAGTTCAGAATTGTGCTCCTGCTTATTGGAAACATCTCTTAATAATTGTACCCCTAATTATATGTAATATATGTAACTTCTTTTTTTTTTTAGCAGAGTTTACTTTATTGATTAGCCTTTGGGCCATATTAAAGTGCAGAGTTCCAGACACAAATTATTACTAAAATCTGATAAAAACAATTTAAAATGGAATTGGATAAAATACGATTTAAAATGAAATTGGAATAAAATACGATTTAAAATGAAATTGGAATAAAATATAGTTTAAAATGATAGCTTTGATTAGCCTATAGGCCATATCAAAGCACAAGGTGCAAACACATATCACCAATAAAAACTTATCCAAACAATTTAAAATAAGTGTAGGGTAAAATACAATAGTTATAGGATAAGATACAATATAATTTAATACATAAATATATAAAATAGAATAAAATGACATAAAATTATATTTCGGTGTCACCCTTACAATCTACCCCAATCAGTCCCACGTATACAGATCTCAACCGAGAGATGTTTAAGTATTGTGCTGTGTTAAATATTATTTTCAGGTTCTGGCCACACATAAAGTAAGTTGTTTTGATATGGGGATCCCAATGGATCATTGGTACCAAGGTACCTGTCTCTCACCCCCTCATACAAGCAACAGTCAAACAGGATGTGAGCCAGGTATTCTGCCTCTGCCGCTCCGCAAATGCAGAGACGCTCATTGTAAGGTATAGAATGGAATCTCTCATATCTGACCATTGTGTCAAGCTGCTTGAATCTCGCTCACGTAAATATCTCCCTAAGATGTTTTGGGAGTTGTAACTTCAAATAGCTGCCTACTTGAAAAGTATGTTTGTATTTGCTCAGCCATTTCAAATTACCCACTTTACTAAGGATAACTATATCATTTTGTGCTTCTATATTCTTAATTCTTTGGGCAGCTCTTTTTTTTTGAATTGTTCTCCTGTTATGCAAAAGACAGGAAGGCCACAGCTTCTTACAAAATTTGTTAGTTTGGTGATCCAGGAGATTTGTGATTGTAATTTTATTTTTTCTAGTAGACATAACTTGGGGAGTCTATCAGTCTCCATTTCATTGACTTTGCACCGGTATATGCTCTAATTTTGGATAGTGCATGAATTGTCTGAATTCCAAGTTCAGTTCTAACTGCTGCAGCAGATGTTCTTGGATCAACACCCAAAATACGCCTCAAATGCTGGGACTGTGTTTGTTCTGGGACTGTGTGGTTGAATATAGACCCCAAACCTCTGCTCCATACAAGAGCATGGGGTAACCTTAGCTTTATATACTTTA